GTGCATGAGTTCTCTGTCTCACTGCCTGACATGGATATGAGAAAGTAATAATCATGAGTGGGAATGCAGCTCCCAAATGGGCAAGGACTAAAAATTCAAATGACGGCCAAAAAGGCTTACATGCTTCATGAACACAATAGTATACAATACCAAATGATGATGCTCTATACTAAGAGGATTATTGTGAATACATAATACTTCTAGAATATGTTTTCTCGGTACCAAAATGAACAGAGATAGGAAATAAAGTATGCATCAAATACTCAATTGTATTTCTAAGCAAAATTTAGAATCCTTTTTAGGAAAGAAATATAAGTATGAAAAACAGCAGTGCTACAGAATTATAATAACACCCAAAATAAAGTACAAGGTATTGTATTAACCTGATTGATGGTATATCCTTATTGTTTTAGAGACTGGAATTATATATCTAGCTATCAACTGATTTTATTTCCAAAGAGGAATACTACAATAAATTAAAATTTAAGTAAATTTATTTGAGCAACATCCATGTTGTAAATAGTAAAGTCACAATAGTAAACAGACAATTATCAATATTTCCTATTCAGAGAAAGAGAGGAACAGCATGCAGCATCCAGAGTAGTGCAGCACTCCTAATCTGAATATGGAAAGAAAGCTATAAGACCCTCAGGCATAGCCAAACACTGGGGGGGGGGGGGGCTGTCACTTGGTCCCTCAAGAGGCCCTTTATACTTGAGAGGTTTGATGAAAAATATATGACAAAATATACATTTATTTATCTAATTGAACATAAACAAATATTACACTTTCCCTATACAGACACAGAAAAAGTACACTTTTTGCAAAGTAAAATTATTAGTCTCAATAGTGACAAGAAAAGACATCATTCAAGTGCATATTATAAAACAAGCTTCAATACAAGAAATGTACTTATTATTGCTTGATCACTAAAAATGCCTATTTATGATTAAAAGAAAACAGAACTGACATTTCTTGCATAATTTCTTATTCATAACTAACACGCTAGTTCCCCCGCCTCATCACCATTCTGGCTAGAGAAGAATGGGGAAAGGCGATCGTTTACATGTGATATTTTGATAGGAACTTCGGCTGTGAATGACCATGTAAAATCCTGAGCTTATAAAGACCCATAGAGACCTTTTATAGAACTTGATAAGTGATGTAAGGTGCTGCAGGGATGCCAATAATAACAAAATATTGGTCTATACATATGCTCCTTGGCTGATAATAAAACTGAGAAAGGGAGCAAGGAGACTGATTATAGGAGTTCGAGCTGAGTCACGCTAACACAAAGCCATTAAACTGAGTCAACATGTTTTGCAAGAATGTGTCGGAGTTAGTGTATAGGCTTTACAGAATCCTCACAGTTTCTTTCTGTCTGCGTCTTTTTGTCTTCTACCTGTCTGTCTCTCTTTCCCTCCTTCCCCCTCTCTCGTGTTTGTCTTTGTGTCCCGGCCTGTACGTATGCCTGGCTGTCTGGATGTCTGTCTGTCTCTGTCTCTCTCTCTTACTCACTTAGTCACTCTCTCTCTGTCTCTCTTTCTCTGTCTCTCTTTAGCAATAGGTAAGTTAGCGTGAAAAAGAAAGCATGCGGTAAAAAGAGTGTAGGGTATACACGTTTGGACGACTGATTAGCACTTTGGTTCTAAGAAAGCATTCAAGAAAATGTTTCTTTCAAATCACCGCAACAGTAATGCCGTCTTTCTAAACGAGCAACGTGTTGTGTGTGTATATATAAACACACACACACACACACACACACACACACACACACACACACACACACACACACACACAACACACACACACACACACACACACACACACACACACCACACACACACACACACACACACACACACACACACACACACACACACACACACACACACACATATATATATATATATATATATATATATATATATATATATATATATATATATATATATATATAATACATATATATATAATATATATACATATATATATATATTTGTACATATATATGTATATATATGTATATATATATATATATATATATATATATATATATATATATATATATATATATATATATACTCCAAACTAGAAACATAAAATGCGTGGTTAAGTTATTTTTAAAAGTCGTAACTTACGAGTTTATTTTCAGTTTGTCCAAAAATAACTGTTTAGTGGTGAACGATACATTAGTTATACAGTATATTATATTATGTGTGTTGATATATATAATTGATACTAGTGATTCTACAACCAACATAAACAACGTGGTAAAAGCCAAAATTTTAAAACCGCCAAAATCTTGTTTTGTTTCAAGTTTCAATTTACGGGCTGTCCATACCCGTGCTTCACTTTTTTCTTCCCCATACCAATTTTCAAGAACGCTATCAGTCCATCGTCCCAGTTCTAGGCATCCATTACCATACAAATTTTGAAAGTTGTATGTCAAACAGTCAATGAACTATTTACATTTGTAACGCCTACTGTACCTTCTATTGAGTATTCTGATGACTGTTAAAACAGGTGCACGATCTGATACATTACTCTCAGGCTAGACGCTACGCTACCTTTCTGACCCCAACATTGCAATATTTTAGAGTAAGAAATATTTCAGTGTAAAAAGGTTATAAAAGAAAAAAAAAAAAAAAAGAAAAAAAAGATAATACTTGCAATTGTCAAAGATGATGTAGGGTTTAGCTTGAAAATTACCAACTAGGATTTATATCAAAATGAGCAGGTCTACCTGTTTAAGTATACCTTGTGTACCGTCCTACCGCCATCATGTATTGTATCTTCAAAAAGATCTAGAAATATTTTTACTGGTGTGAGTTACAGCAATGTTCATCTCGTTTACAACCTATGATTCTTTACGTCGAATGGTAATATGTAATTGCATTTTATGCCGAGGTCATGACAGTAGCTTTGTTACTTGTTAGCTCATTCACACACATATCACGAATCATAAATACCACCCAAATAACTTTTGTAAATAACATACTTAAAAACATAAATAATATATATATTTCAATGAATGAACGTATATATTTAATGTCAATCTTCTCATAGGTTTATTCATGTGACTAACATTGCCGAAACGTTTTTTTATCATAATTTCAAGGAATTTACAAACTGTGTGTATGTATTCATGTGTATTTGCAGGAATTTCTATACATGTATAAATATGCATGTAAACAAATAGTATTTACATATACTATCTATGTACACTGTACTTTTGCATACACACAGCATATAAAATGTACACATGTATGTATAATGTATGTATATATGTATATGCCGGATGCATGCTCGCTTTATACATGTATTTGATGGATGCATAAAGTTGGTAACAATGTAAGCAATCCCTAAACAATATTTTAAAGACAAAGTCACGAACTCTATGAGAACTCGAAGATAACTGTCAAAAGACCTTTTCCGCGTATTTTCGAGACGGCGTGATCGCTTTTATGGGAAACATTTTTTATGCTAAAGCCTGTGGCTGGCTCTTTGCCAGGTGGGTCAGGAGCCGTAACGCGTCTGAAACATTTACCATTTGTGAACATTTTAAGCCTCTCGATAATCAGTACACCAACCAGCAGAGGAACAAGCTGATAAACAAATGAATTTCATGATTTGAAATTTGAAGAGACCAAAGAAAGACACTTTCAGACGCTTTCATGTGTCTTTTAAATGTCACTATTAATTAACCTGCATGCTTTCCTCATTGCCAGAAGGCTAAACAACAGACAAGAAATACAACACTGTCTATCAGTCCAACTACCTGTCTAAACATGTATACCTCCTATTTATTTATCTTATCTATTAGGATTTTGAAGAAAATAGACTTTCCACCAAGTAAATTTCCATTAGATATTATTATGTTACTACTATTGTCGATAGAAACTCGATAGCTTTTTAGCTAGAAGAACTCAGTCAAGCAAATCAATAAAACAGATCAAACAGCCTAAAATACATTGCTAATGATGGCATGTACTTATCAGCATTATCTTTTGGCTCCAACGTTTTCAGCTCATACCTACAGGCTTGGGGCTTTGTGTGTGTGTGTGTGTGTGTGTGTGTGTGTGTGTGTGTGTGTGTGTGTGTGTGTGTGTGTGTGTGTGTGTGTGTGTGTGTGTGTGTGTGTGTGTGTGTGTGTGTGTGTGTGTGTGTGTGTGTGTGTGTGTGTGTGTGTGTGTGCGCGCGTGCGTGCGTGCGTGCGTGCGTACGTGCGTGCATACGTGCGCGCGCAAACACACGTAGAGAAATACACTGGCATACACACATACATCACACGTGCATATATACGCATGCGTATAAATTTACTCATGCAGTAATATACATATGTGTATATGCATACTCATGTGCATATTTATATATACACACACATTACCATGCATATTGAAATATCAACATGTATTAGAAAAACAGCTAGGCATAAAGAGGCCCATTTCCCTTTGCGATAGTCCCCCCTGATTTGTGGCTCGGAGACAGGTTTTCTGCGGCCACCTTGAGCCTCAGAGTGCTGCCCTCTGCACTCAGCTGTTTGTTTTGTTGACGAACAGAGATTGGCTCGCTGCTTATATTCTCGACTTATTACATTCGTGGCTGCTTCTGACAAGCCTCCAGTGAATCCCTCTTATTTTCCCAAGCTCAGATAAGTTAAGTGGACGCGGCGAGGGAGAGGGAAGCGAGGAAAGGCGAGAGACCAAGAGCAACTTTCACAGTGTTAACGCTTGGTGGATATTGTGTGCGTGTGTTGGTGGTTGGCCTTGGTGTGTTTGTGTGTATGAGTGGGCTCTGTCTGCCTGTGTGTGTGAGCTCTGCCCGTGTTTGTGCTTGCCTAGCGCATACACTCACATGAAAAAGTCCGTACTGTGAAAAGTTAAGGACAGGAAGGACTCGTGAGACCAAGTCTAGGAGCTCCTCAAGGAATACCAGAGAAAGCAGAATCCAAAGAAAGTCCCTTTTGCTTGCTTAGAGACATTGTCTGACCAGTGACTATGTGGCCATATTTGAAGATCAAGTGTGTAACCATTGGACAGAGTAATGAGGTCGTTCTTGCCAAGGCCAGCACCACTTTCTGTTAATTAAGGAACTCAAGTGTTTGTTGTCGTGAAGTCCACAATAGTGTCTCTCAATGGGTGCATCGGTAATTCCAATTCGAGTGATGAGATGAGCATGATGTCGGACGGAGGGGGCCGGGGGGTGGGGGGGAGTCCAGCAAGCCGTACGATTACCTCCTCAAGTTCCTTCTGGTGGGAGACAGTGACGTCGGGAAGCATGAGATCCTTCAGCCCTTGGAAGATGGTTCCACCGAGTCGCCCTTCTGTGTTGGCAGCGGTGAGTAGCCTTTGTTTTTTATTTAGAAAGTGTAATATGGATTAAGAAATTTTGAAATTATGTAGGCCTAAGTATCCTGTTTCTTTACTGTGTCATTGATATGTAATGATCAAAGGGTTAAGCTGCTTTATAGATTTTATTTGTTTCTATATATTTTATTCAGGTATGTTGTGTATGGATTTACTGCATATAGGTATACTGTATTTAAGTATACTCTCTGTAGATCAACTGTATCTTTACCAGGTATACAATAGCTATAACCTTTTTAGTCAGTTAGGTCATTATAAACTTTCATCAGTATGGTTACTGATAGGTCACTTTATTTGATATTATTTATAGTGCATCCTATTTCAGGAAAGGAAAAAACAGCATCTTGCACCGGAATCCAGAATACACTGATTTGTCTTCCTTTTTTTCTTTTTAAATTCATTATAGCTCTCACTTCACACTTATGTTGATATATGTTTAGAATGATATACAATATTTTGCATTGCTTTACACTGTTTTATTTATTGTTTTCTCAGTGGAGAATTGGAGTACTCAAATTGTCTAGAGTGAGTCTTCCTGAGTTTAAACAGAGTTAAGGTATTGGGATCGGATCTGGTTGTTACATGATAAATCCAGTTCTTCCAGACTTTTCATCCCACATGTGCTGACTAAATTGCCTGTCCTGTGTAGGCCACATGGGTTAACTGTAGCTGCGTTTAACTAGACTTCTTTCTTCCCACAGAGCTGGGATTAAATTAGGCTTTAGTTATGTCAATTTGTTTTATCCTATTTTCAAACTCTTAATATGTAATGTTCTATTCAACATATGTTATGTATACATAGTTACAAGGGCTTAGGGACTTTGGAAGGATTAGGAACTTGGTGTTGCTTTGTTTGCATACAAAAAAGTGTTAGTCTTTTGAGGTGTTTGTATAGAATGTTTATCAAGGTTTAAGTATGTCAGTGCAGGTCTATGTCTGTGTGGTCCTTGTTTCGAGATTCACTACCTGTGCCAGTCATGATTGTTTATTTGGTACTGTGTATATAAGAAATTTTGGTAATACTTGAACCGGGACTGCACCGTCCTTAGGCTAAGAATAACAAAGTCTGCATTGGTACCTCTGCTCCTTTTAACATTGTTAAAGAGTTTTGTAACCCATAGGGATCAGCATGTTATAATTGGAAATGCAGGAATAAGTACTGGGGTGTGTCCTGCTATTCACTTTTTTTTTTTATTATGAACACATACATATTCATGGAGAAAGGGGGAAACCTTTTGTAAAACAAATTAATGGATCATAGCATTTCTTTATTTTTTATTAGCTGAAAGAAAATCAATAAGTGTATTTTATATAAAACCCTATTACCTTATACCATATACTTCAGTATATAAAAAAGTAGATCAAAACAAGAAATGAGCTTACATGTGCTCACTGAATAAAATGAGCTTACACCACAACCAAAAGGAAATTTCTAGAGGAGATCAAGGTGTTACTAACACCTTGAAAGTGAAAATAGTTAGTGCTCTCTCATATTGTGTACTCAATGAGCCTTAAAACTTCTTGCTGCAACCAATAAAAAAATAATAAAAATAAAAAGTTTACTCTGCTGTCTGAAGTACAAAACTGACTGCATAACTCATTACTGTAATGTGTTAATCAATTCCTGTATTACTATGTACATATGATTTTTTTTTTTTTTAATAATTAGCAATGCCTGTTCTTCCATGTTTATGTATTTCATGTTTTCTTTAAATTGTAATATACTTTGTAATAATTTTAACAGGTGTTTATACAGTTGTTTACAAGAAACTTGTTTACAATTATTTATACAATTGTTTACAATTTTCTTTTGCTCATGTGCATTTCCTTGACCCAGATTTTTTACAGTTAGTCCTTGAACAGTGCCAGTGATAAAGGTTTTGTTCATATAATTTTGTTAGTTATAGACCTTTTTTAAAACAATATAATAGTTTTGCAGGCGAAATAGACAGTAGTATCCATCATAGTGTGATATCTGAGCTCATCAAATTTTGTAGGTGTTAAGAAAGTTTAATTAGATACTAAACAATTCAGTCAATTGATGGAATCAAAGAAAATTTTTAGTGTTTTTAGAAAGGTAGGTAGATTCCAGAGATTATATGTAGAAGCAAAGAATTTAGTTTGTAATTCA